AGCGGAAAATCTACTCGATTGCACCTAGGTAGGTGCATCTCAGCGAAAGAGATTTACAAAATGAGGTAGTAGGCACCAGTGAACACAGCGCGGATAAACGGTGCCCTAGCAGGACTTTGCGACAAGAGAATGCCAGTGCAACGCAAGTTCCAGATGTAATGTACGTTATCCGCCTCAAGTGCGCATTGAGTGCTGATTATGTACGCGGAACGAGAAGCGCAAGCAGTGAAGACAACGCTACGATAGACTTTGATTGTCACATTGAAAGACAACATCCCCTTCCCCCCCCCCCCTCTCGATCGCGACTTCGAACTTGTCGACAATCGTGATTAGGCTTTCTTACAATGTTCTACACTTTCACTTTTCACTTTTTCCCGCAACAACTCATACCTTTATGTATCCTATCTCAAACATAAATTTCAAATATTTCAACACAGTTTCTTCCACATTGAACTAAAGCTAAAATTTAGAAAAATCTGAATGCCTGAAAAATCAAGGGAACTGCTCTCCTTCCAAAGAACCCTACGCACATCTCCATTTGCTCAGGCATGTTATACTCTCCACATGGAAAATTTTCTGTACAGTGCAGTAAGAAAGTATCAGCTTGGTTTTAGAAGCATTCTCACTCAATAAAAATACGAATCAAGCTCAAATTACTACTTTGGAACTACAATATTTAGGCTATAAACTACGTGTATATTATTCGCTGAATGTTCCTCTAGAGTAAATTGACGGAGTGTGGCACAACACCATTAACTTACCTTCAAAGCATTCATATATCTGTCTCCTTTTGTATGTTAGGACTGCCAAACCTTCTTCTCTCTACAGTAGGAATTTCTTTCAAAATTCAAAGAAGATATACCATTTGTCCGATCCTGTTTAAGGCAAATAATGGTACTGTAATATGCTAAATCTGCGCTACTACTATCCTTTCCGCTTCGTCTCCGTGCTTACCAGCGCCTACCTTTCCGCTTCATCTCAATGCCTCCCAGCGCTTCCGTCTCGGTTTTTTTTCTTCTGTTTGGAAAAGGTGAGTTAACTCATTTACAGAATATATTAGATAGAGATCTATCTAGTCAAATTTCCAAATGGTTAAGCTAGGTTTCTTTTATTTCCGCAATGCAGTTCATTTGCCCACCAAACTTTTTCTGCATGTTTTAATTTCGCTATTTTTTTAAAATAGCAACTTTTATTGCGTATACTTGCTGTTTGCTGCTTATTGACTGTGTACCTAGCATTTCACTTTTAATTTGAACGAGGGAATCGTTTGGCTCATGGCTAATGGAATCGCTTATATGCAGCGACTAGACATGACCCATATGTATATCAGACTCTCTTATGCATTCTCAATACTTTTGTTTTACATGGTCATTTTTCTTCTACTGCCGAGAGCTTACAAATCTTTGTCTATTCACACGAAACTCATCTAGTAAGTGCAAAACGTTCCCTTACATAGGACATTTACCCCGCCCGCACCTTTCTCTCAAAGCACAGCGGCATCCCATAGAGGCGCGGCGCTACCCACGCTATTACGTAAAACGCCACAATATACGTTTCTAAGGTGACTATGACGGAGGCAGTGCCGCAACCCCTCACAATTTACAGTCGAGTAGATTTTCCGCTTAATATACATAGTGTGCTTGCACAGTTTATGAAATGCGGTAAACTTTGCGCGTGAACAGGTAGCTGCGCCAGCACTGCTGGCATTTTGCGCGCGCAATTGGCCGGCGTCACAGTCGAAGCTAACCTCACGCGCAAATTTTACCGCATTTCACCTTTTCCGCTCAATATAGTGTGCAAGCACACTATATTGAGCGGAAAATCTACTCGACTGTACAAATACTAGTTAATATAACTCAAAACTTGCTTATTGTTTTATCCAAAGGTGTCGCAGGCGACTGTTACGTCTGCCGCATCAGTCGTCGTCTTTAATTTTGACGTGAGGCTCACAAGGGGATGCGTAGCAAGTGCTACCAAGGCAGCGGCCTGGTGCAGCAGCCAGCCGCCAGAGCTGGCACCAACGCCGCGGCTGAACTACCGTAAGCGCGTTCTCGTCGTTCGCAACCTGCCGCAGAGAGATTCTCGCAGCAGCTTCGCAGCTCATCGCGCTGAAGTGCGAGAATTCGCTCAGAGGTCACGCTACTGCACATATTATATCAATCAAGACAGGAGAAAATTTATAGTTTATTAGTAAGATACGATACAAAAAATACACAAAAACAAGAAAGTTAAAATCCAATAAAATTTTCAAGCAATAAAAAAATACACAAAAAATCTCATCACATTCTCATAATCTAGAAATATTCTGAAATTTCCATCTAATTTCTCTTTCATGCAGTCAAAAATAAGCTTGTAAGTTTCACAATCTTTCTTTTGTGTGAGGCGAATAAATTTGAAATCTGAGATTTTTCTAAAATATTCCTTCATTCATTTTGAATTTCTTCACGAACTTCAAAACCTCCGCCACACATTGCGTGTACGGTTTATAATTGTTCTTTTTCTATCTCTGCTTAAATCGTTATGGGATTACTTATATCACTTGGACACCGTTCCTGATCAGCGCTTTTAGTCGATTTCAATGACTGTCTTAATTTCTTGCAAATTAGGAGATTTGCAAAAATAATTCTGTGGGCATTCAACGCAAGAATTACATCGGAGAAGTAGATAAGAATATTTGGCAATCGGACTTGTAAAAAATCCTCTCGATCTGGTAAAATCCTTAACTCTTCTGGAATACTGTTCATTACTATCCTAGTAATTTGCGAGGATGCAGCTCAAAAAATAGGGAGCTCATTAATTTTGAGATTAAGAATCGAAACGAGGAATTGCCTAGTAAACGAACAAAGTAAAATTCATTTCATAATATTATGCTTTTAATATAATTTTATAATTACTCCATCAATTTATTTTCTAAAATTTTTGTGTTTTTGTATATTTTTACATTGTATCTAACTAACAAACTACATATTTCCTGCCGTTTTGATCGATATTTAATATGTGGCAGTAGCGCGACGTCTGAGGGAATTCTCGCACTTTAGCGCGATGAGGTGCGAAGCTGCTGCGAAAATCTCTCTGCGAGAGGTTGAGCACGACGAGAGCGCGCCTACGGTAGCCCAGCCGCGGCGTAGCCCAGCTTTGGCGGCTGGCTGCGGCACCAGGCGGCTGCCTGGGTAACACTTGCACGTCTCCCCTCAAAAGGGAAGGATACTTGGTTGAAGTGGCGCTTCAATATGAGTTGTACGCTACCTTACAGAGCATAAAACGCTAATTCCGAATCTGCTTTCCTTATCTGCAAAGCCTTTCAGGAAAAAAGTTATGGGAATTTCTTTAGGCAAAATTTTAACGCGCGGCTGCAATATATCATTCAAAACTGCAGTCTATGAGCTCAAATGGGGCCATGATTACTACCAAAGCGTTCTGTGCAATAAATACCTTCGTTCTTAGAAACTCATGTCAGTCATTACTCCTTTCAAGGGCCAAAAAGATTTCACACCTGTTTTTTCTTAGCTTAGCCAAATCGTTGAAATTTTACCAGAAAAATTTTAGAATTCCCCTCCCAGAAGCACTTTGCAGATAAGGAAAGCAGATTCGGAATTAGCGTTTGATGCTCAATAAATATTATGCATTTCATATGGAAAACACCACTTAGATCATGTATCCTCCCCTTGTCAGAAGCTATTTGTAGCGTGATGGCAAATATAATAATTTTTTCATTTTTTATGCATTCAAATCATCATCATTGCGCGTGATCATCGAAAGGATCGACCGCGCGTACGCGCACAGTTCTTGCGACGACCGAGACGCGGTCGTGAGCAGTATGCCCTTTACTTGGACACATCGTGATGTCGCTTTCTTCAAATCGCTAGGTATTTCAAGAGTTTACTACGGGCACTGAAGTCGTCACTTAGAATGTTAACCAAAATGACATTGTCTTTTGAATCCGCACGATTAAATCGTCGCACTGCAGCACTAATTGCGTCGGAAACGAAAGGAATACAAAGAGAAATTTTCCGATGGTGCTGGTTGCTATAGATGAAAATGGAAAGTCTGGCATGTCTTTTCTGGAGCGTGTAGCCAATCATTCCAGCGCCTTTCTTTGTGATGCCTTCCGTTCTTCTTCCCTGTGCAAACGTTCGCTGCTGTTTTGAGCATTTACGGATAACAGCTTTTTTTGTAGCTGTGGATGTGCTGAACAGCATTTATCGAAATGTTCTTGGAATTTTCTTTACGATATCATTTTACACTCGCCGCGCCCTTGAACAGTCTAATCTGTACATTGAGGTAAGAAAGCCAGCCATCTTTCGTTGTTGCCGCGCAGCTTTATATACTCTTACTGTTATCAAGCAGCCTAAGACACTCATTTATTGTTGATGTTATGACACAACAGCCATCTACGTAACGACAATACCTAAGAGGTAAATGCGACAACACTGGTTTTTCTATTCTACTCATATAGCAGACTGGAGTACTGGCCGCAAGTCTTTGTTCCATTCCAAACCTCTTATGTGAGTGTGTATGTTCCTGACCATCTGAAGATGCAAGAGCATTCTCTGGTCAAGAACATAACCGAAAAAAATGCCGATAAATTTTTCAAACTGCATAATTTTGGGGTACCCCTATGTAGAGCTATTGAGAACATTTCAAATAGAAAAAAGTTCTCAAAATGTTTCCCATATATCAAAAAAATTTTGACAAAAATTTATTTCATCACTTGCGCTTGCAGTGTCTCCCATTGAATCTGACAGAACGCAGTCTAACAATACCTTTGCACGCTTGCAGTCGAATCACTCAGCAAGTGGATTATTGTTGAGTATGTGAGAGTACTTTGTCTGGCAATGGGGGAATCCTTCCTTCCAGATTATTCACAAAGTTGGATATATCACCACTACTGATAACTTTTATTTTTACTTACTTAGATACTTAGATGGCCCGTCCTCACGTGACGTGCGGGCCCCAGTACGGAAGTTGCCATTTTCCCTGTCCCTCGCCTCAGACATCCACGATCTTCTTAACTTTTATTTAGTTGCTGTAAAACGTTGAGCAAAAGTTTCAAGAACAGAACAGAATTCATTGACTTGGTTGTGAAATGTCAATCATCAATAGAACTTTTGAAGATCGCTTTCAGTGCAAAGCCGGTTTCTTGCATACAAACGATCTCATGATCTCTGTACAAATGTAATCGTTCCACTTCTGGTGCATTAAAGCATGTTCCCTTCCAGGATTAGAGTCAGAGTACAACTGAAATAAAATAGGCCTAATTCCACTGTGGCACTTCACTGAAAATAGCAAGAATTTGGATGAGTTGAAAAAATAAGCAAGAAGTGTTCAAGAAATCGCTTCTTGACATCATCGTAGCTTCTACATTCTGGAGCAATTTTTTCATTATTGAAATCATCTTCTGCAGCTAAAACTGGCGATTTCATAAAAGGATCCTGCTACTGTTCACATCAAAACCACATTAGCCTTAGTATAAATGAACGCTGCCTGAGTTGCAAATTAGAAGCTTTGCAGTAACTATGTGCAATAATGGCAAAAAAATTGAATCATTTAAAAATGGAAGTTTTATTTTAGTCCAGAAATTAGCTCAATGCGATAGCTCTTTTCATTTTCTCATCCGCAAATCTCGTAGCATAAATATGAACAAAGACTTGAAGCAGTAGTCTACGCACATCATGACTAACTTTCGCTAATTTCGATACTGTCATTTCCGAACAAGTAAAACCCTTAGCAAACTATTGCACTCTTTAGTTTTTTTCTGCACTTTCCTTTTTGTAATTTTTCAATACTTTTGAAAAATTGCGTAAATTGCGTCGAGCGAATGATGTCGCATCATGTGCTACCATGTAATGTCGGGTGGATTCGAAAAAATTGGTGAAGTATCATTCGATAGAAAAAGTAAGCCCGTAGATGTGTGATTATTTGCTCCAAGTTTTTATTGGAAGTTTGGAGCCAAAGTTTCTGATGCCTGGATGAAAAAAGAGAAAAAAAATGAAAACCAAAAATCTCTATTGACTCCCGACTTGCCCATGCATACACTCACTATATTATACATTTGTATCTTTCTTGTATTTCGTAATTTTTCCATGCTTAAGCCCATGCTTTTCCCAAACGTTTGATTTTGTAGTGTTGAGCATTGGGTATAACCATGAAATTTCAGCTCTATACAAGTCTTAGTTCTCAACAACAATTTAGCACAAAAATTCCAAAAAATCGGCATTTGTGATTTCGAATCCATTTTTGTTTTTCTTTTTAACCGCGAAATCACCAACTATACTTGTAAATAATGCCTCAGAGTACATGCGTGATTTTGAACCTTGAGGAATTTTTTTGCGTAGGATGTTTAAAATATCTAACTTTTTCGCATTAAACATTTTTCGAGTTGTTTCTTTGCACATTACGTGGGTAAAAGTTTGAGCAAATGCGTGAAGCTAACTTGTGGAGTATGATTTACTCCAGCAGGTGATACCCAATTCACTGTCGTTCGCGTTCACTTTCCGTGGTAAAACGTGAGCGACACTTTTTACCGAATAATCTAATACCACCAAAAGAATATCTCTCTTCTATTAGGTTGATGGATGCACAAGTTTTGCATTAGAAAATGGAAGAAAAACGTTCAAAAAATGATTGAACAGACTTCAAAATTTAAGTAATATGTTAGGTCGTACCGAAAGTTCTTGCGCATGATTTTCAAAAATTCGTAACTTGTTGAATTCTCAACGAATTTAGAGAATCTGAATTCTATATGAGAGAGGAACTCATGGTCTTTGCATTCTTTCTTGAACTATCCGTTAACGTGTACAAAAGAAGGAATTAGAAGCTCAAAACCAAAATCACTCAAAATTTAAATTTTTCATGTAGGGTCATAAAAAATCGGAAACTTGCAACAAAACTCGGAGCAGTCGGTATTGTAGGTTCTTTCACCAGCTCTTTCCAACAGTGCAAAGTTTGCGCCGATTAAGCGTCTCTGTGAGATGTTATAATTTCCTGAAAAATGCCAAAATAAATCGAATTCGCCCTTTTGTATTGCTTGCTCGAAAATCATAACATTTCACAGAGACGCTCAATCGGCGCAAACTTTGCACTGTTGGAAAGAGCTTGTGAAAGAGCCTACAATACTAACTGCTCCGATTTTTGTTGCAAATTTCCAATTTTTTATAGCCCTACACGAAAAATTCAAATTTTGAGTGATTTTGGTTTTGAGCTTCTATCTCTTTCATTTGTACACATTGACAAACGATTCAAGTACAATTGCAAAGAACGAGAGTTCCTCTCTTACATAGAATTTAGATCTTCTAAATTCGTTGAGGATTCAACAAGTTACGAATTTTTGAAAATCGTGCGCAAGATCTTTCGGTACAACCTAATGTAACACGTTTCGAAAAATCGATTTGAAACAAATTCTGTCTGGCACAAAATCAAAATTACAAATGAGACAAAATCATTGAGTTAAATCCAAAATTCGAAACACATAACTATTTGTAGAGACATCCGCTTCCTAATACCTTTTCTCAAAATTAGACAAAAAGAGTGTTCGCAGAAGGCCAAAAATAATTGATTTCAGTTGATTTTTAGCAACTTTAGCAACCAAAGTTCGAGCAATCACTTTCTGGATATTTCTCCCAATCTGCTTGTATAGTTGGTATGTCTCAACAAAGAGTTTCGATTCAAGCGCTTGCGAAAAGCGCAAGATTTATTGCATTGAAACTGGAGTAGGGATTTTCAATTATTTCAGTGCAAGAATTATGCATCAGCCATTTTCTGAAGCAATTTTCTCGCTTCAAAATTTATCTTTTGCAGCTAGGCTTAGCACTTGAGTGAAGGTTCCATCAATGTACCACATCAAAATCTCTGCAGCCTCAATATGCGTGAACGGTGCCTTTGAGTTTTGCATTTTTAGGTGAAGTTCAAATTCGAAACTTGAGGGCACTGTTGGCGTAGAAACGTTTATGCATTATTCAAATGTGGAAAATTAATCTTATATATAGGTCGGCGCGAAAGTTCTCTCCTTTTGTACTTACGTGCACAAATTGTAGAATAAATAAAAATACGTTATAATACTTACGCGTAAAATAATTATGAACAAACACTTTAAGCAGTGCTCAATGTAGAATCTTTTCCATCTTTCAGCGGCTACGCTCACGATACAGCTTTTCCACTAAATAGTCGCTGGAGTTTTCAAAAAGTATTAGTTTTGAGTGGAGATGTAGTGTCTAGGGCTAATTTGGATGGGGTTTAGGGGCATAATTGGGTTCTAGAGTTTCTTTAGTGCCAATTACAGTATGCCAGGATAGACTTCCGAGGACTTTCGGGGCAGAAAGTTTGGTAGGATCTGGGGCACAAGAGACTGATACCCGCCGCTGGAGGGACCCCGGACGGTGCCAGATTGGACGACTGGATGAGCATTCGGTGACGTCCATTGTCTGACACTTTCGGACTGCGAAATCGCGCGCGGCGAAAAAGAGTGACTTTCAGCCGTTAGACAACAAAGGGACCTTATTTCGTAGATTGTGTGCTACATCTGTAATTAGCGTGTTAGATAAGCTACATACCCAAAGTTCCTGAGTGAATTCGAAGTGTTTGAATTTTGTTGCTTGAGAAAAACTTCCGTGTTCTTGAAAGATAGGAACAAGGACTCAGTTTCCAATAGTATCCAAAAAGTCTATGTTGTGCAGGGTACACATCATTATTAAAACTACGGTTTTTCTCTTTGAAATCGGAGCAAAGAAATGTTGCGACGTCGCACGCGTCGTTCGCGCTGCCGCACTTCGTTGCAACTGTTGTTCGATTTGTCTTCATACAGGCCTCGTGAAATGCAATTGCCCACGCGTCGTTTTGAACACCAACGCGCGATGGGCTGGAAACGTTTGGTCCCGAAGCGCTACAGGCTTTTTGCGAGCGACAATGAGCGCGCACCCTTTTCACATATATCTTTTCAAACTTTGGAAGGGAGCTTTGCTCAAGATATACCTTGCGCATAGCTTTACAGAGTCCTTTGAAATGGAGGAGCTTAAGCCTTTGACTTGATAACTTTGGACAAAAGGAAACCTCCTGCAAACGTTAAAAAGACTTCAAGACCGCGTATTGCACCATGTGCAGCACCGGTAAGAAACATGCCAAGCAAGTAAACGGAAGTTTTGTTGCACAAATGACGTTGATTGATGTTCATGTCTCCGAACGTAAGAGTTCGCAAAAGCGTGTCAAGATTGCTGGAGCTTGGGTTAGCGCGATCCGTGTGTGTCGAAAGATGAGAAAATAGGGTCAGTGGGTTGTGAAGCTAATGAGTTTCGGAACTCAGTGGGGTTGATGAAACTGATGAAGATAGCCTCTGGTTTTGAATATTCATCACTATCGTCTGCGTCTTCCGCATATTCACTGCTTATAGTCACCGGTTGCTCCTCTACTTTCTGATAAACAGTTTACAACGTACTAGCATCGTCGCCTCCTCGGTGTACGTTGAGCGGAGTATTCGCAGACGTCTAAACGCGCTGGGACATGTCAAATCTTTTCTCAAAGTATAGTTCTTTGAACTCTCTAAGATGCCACGTATATATGCCGTTGTCATACGCGGCAGAGTTAGTAGCGCGAGATTACAAAGAACAATGCCTTGCAGTAGAGGGTTAAAAGTACACCGGGTGTTCAAATGCTTGCAGTTGCCTCGCCTAGCGTACACTGGGAAGGCGACGATACCAGCTTAACTCATTCAGAAGTCCAAACGATCCGAAGGAAGTCTTAAGGCGGAGAAGTTTAAACTGATGTTTGGAAGCAGACTTGTACAAAGGTTTTGCTCTACCAGATGGTACCTCCTTCACTGTCGCTCGTGTTCATTCTGCAGCGGTAAGATGTGCAACATTATTTTCGGACAGCACAATACATAAACAGAAAGAAGAACAATATTTTGTTTTTCAAGCGCAATCAAATTTGCGCACCGTGACGACTTTTAACCCCTGGCATGTGTTGCATTGTACTAGCGCTCTTCCTCGCGCGTCGTTACCTAGCAATGATGGTCGATCTGTATGGAGAATGAAGAATGGAGAATTCGACAGTACATAAGAATAAAGACGTAATGAGCTGACTTTTCCATATTTGGGAAAAGCATCGACTACAATTAAGAAATCAGCTCAAAATAACTAACTGATAGCTAAATGAAAAAAAACGCCATAGTATGTATGCTGATCAACAAATCTTAATGCAGTGCTGGACATAATTACGAAGACACTCTGGAAATCTTCGTAATTTGCGTTCTTGTTGATGAATCTGTCGGAAACTTTGCTGTATAGTGCGCATGTTGGACTACCATAACCAGGGCCCGGCACAGATCGTCTGGAAGCAGGCTGGACTTCGTTTTTGAAGCAAACAGCAAAGGGGATATCGTTTTTGACGAGTCCGAACAGAGCACCAAGAATAAGCGCCGTTTAGTCGAACACAAGTTTTTTGGACAGGTTATCACACGATTGACATGCTCTATCGTGCATGGCGGAAAGTGCGCGCGATTTGAAAGCAAGGCTTAATTAAAGAAATTGCTTGTTTACAGCGCACACAGAAGCTTATGACACCCAAATTGAACTGTATGTATAGAGAATTATTTGCGGAAGTATTATGTGGAAAGATTTGAAAACTTATGTGAAGTAGTACCTTTTCCAAAATTAGATCGTCTCCAGACGGCCACCAGACGATCTGAGATCGTCTGGAGCATATATTTTCGTTACTTCACATAAGTTTCGGATCTTTTTAGCATAGACGGATTCCCCAATCAAAAATCTATCCCTGAGCATGAAGACATTTTCATATCGTTGCCTCTCCTTTGTTTTTTGCTTTCATTTCTTTTCGGTTTGTTAGATATTGCGCTCTAATGCCAAAGTATCGTAGTATTCAGCTCCAATTTGAATTTTCACTCTTATCTTACTTCTTTTCTTTCAGACTAGTAAATCTTTCTTGCTTTCTTCTTCTCCTAAGCAGGTAGGTCAAAGGGGACTTCGTAAAACTTCCGAAAATCAGGCGAGACTTCGTTTTCAGAAACCCTAGAAACCGACTCGTGCCGGGCCCTGACCATAACCCCTCAAAATGCCATCCAATCTTGTTGAGTTCGAACAAAGAAAAATAGAAAAATTCGAAAAAGCTCCTACAAAGCTGGACAAAATCAATACGTTGATTTTTTTTAAATACTATCGCATCCCCAGACTTTACAATTTTTTGTACAATTATATACAAAAACATGGAACATTCGCAACATCTGCGACCTGGCATCCTCTTCAAAGAAAAATGATCACTGCATTTCTTGCTTTCAAAAGCATCGAAAGTGAATGTGCTTAAACCAACATTGGGTTTGTGAAGTTTTCAAGCTTTTGTTCACTTCAAATGATAATCATAAAATCCACTGAGCCTTTTCTATGAACGAGGTGAAGAGCGCTTTCGTAAACTCTGCGTAATCGCGGATATGGACGGACAGACTCCAACCTTAAAGGCAGTGTCCCATCAGACTGGGGGTATCTGGCTTTCGTAGTAATGTAATAGTAGGCCCCCTACCTAAGCGATGGCTGAAGTTCGGAGCGAAAAAGGGGGTCTACCAAGCCTGAAATTTGCTCCGAAATTGGCCCGAATCTCATGGTAGGTTCGGGCGAGTACGAGATGAATGCAAGGTAGAGACGCATAGTCGTTGCGGGACCCTGCGCTCATGACTGTGTGCGCTATACGCACTCTGGTCTTGCAGTCGATATTGCTGTGGGGTGGCATTCGGGCCTACCGTAAGATTCAGGCCACTTTCGGGGCAAATTTCAGGCTTGTAGACCCCTTTTTCGCCCCGAACTTCAGACATCGATTAGGTAGGGGGTCTATTATTACATTACTACGAGAGCCAGATACCCTAGTCTGGTGGGACACTGCCTCTAACATAGGCTTGTCCAGCTTAAAAACACAAAGCAAAACACACAACTCAATTTTCAAGCAGTAAAAAACACTGCAATGTAGCAATTACGTCAGCTGTACGACAGTAAACTTGTGTGCATATGTGAGAAAGAATTTCGAAAGTAACATTACGGTTCAGCCGCAGTTGTCCTCCATTGAATATTGAGTGGAGCACCCTGCACAATGATAGCCAACTCAGACCACGAAATAGAACAGGAAACGGCTCAAAACTTCATAATCTTAGCTAATCTCATTCTCTGGGTAAAATCTGAAATAAAAGAGAGAGGGAAATAGTTGGCTTTATAGATGTCGAATCTACTACAGGGAATTTCCTTGGAAAGCATTTCAGGTCTAAATCGCGACTGCATCACTAGAGGAAATCTGCAAGTTGTTGCGAAAGCTGCATCACCATGTAGGCAATGTAATAAATCAATTCCGGCACTTCATGCACATTGCAAACTGAGTTTTGTGGTTTAAAAGCGTTGCAAGCCTATGTTGAGCTTGGAATCTGTCCGTCCATATCAGCGATTACGCAGAGTTTACGAAAGCGCTCCTCACCTCATCTACCTAAACGGCTCAGTGGATTTTATGATTATCACTTAAAATTAACAAGAGCTTGAAAATTTTACAAACCAGCAGTTTGTTCAAGCACATTCACTTTCAATGCTTTTGAAAGCAAAAAATGCAGTAATCACTTCATTTTGAAAAGGATGACAGGTCGCAAATGCTGCAAATGTTTCATATTTTTGTATATAATCGTACAAAAAAATTTTAGGGTCAGGAGATGCGATAATGTTTGAAAAAAACAAGTGTCTTTATAATTTTGTCCAGCTTTCGTAGTGCTTTTCGAACTTTTCTATTTTTCTCCGTTCAAACTCAACAAGATCGGAAGCCGTTTTAAAGGGTCATGGTAGACTAAAATGCGCACTACACAGCAGAGATGGGGACAGATTCATTAACAATAACGCAAATTATGACGATTTCTAGAGTGTCTTTATAATTATGTCTAGCACTGTATGAAAAATTGTCAAAGCTTCTTTTAATGTTTCACACTGTCGCCTCTGTTTCAAATCACTCATGTTTATCTTTCAATTTTAAATCTTGAATTACTTATGTTTGTCTTCTCTTTCTAAATCAGTTACCTGAACGCAACGCTCTTTTCCAAGAGAATTATCGGGCTCATTCGGAGCCCAGGCCAAGAAGTCAACGCTCGAGCCGTCAGTCCAGAACCATTCCAAGCCGTTCACATAATCAGCCCGTCTCAAACCTATCCATGTCAAATGGTTCTTATTGCTCCAATTTAGACCCGTCTTTGCCAAGTCTTAATCGCAAATTGAATCAGGTTGCTACGATAAATTGAAATAGAGATGAAATCACCTGCTACAAAAGCATTCTCATTCCAGCTATGAATTGACGTTAAATGTGCTCCAAGGATCTTGCACAGACTTTCGGCATCGTTGAAGCTACTCCAGTAGAAAGTCTGTGATTTAATCAGTGTTGATAATAAACATTTTACTTTGCTATTTGCCAAGTAGTCTTGTAGTCAACAGATGCAGCTAAATTTATAAGAAATCAGAAATTAAAGGGTTTCATTCAACAAAAACCAACTGCGTGACCAGTGCCACTTCGCCCTGCAGACTCGCACCTGCTTGGTTATCAATATATCTTGTGTGTTCGCTTAATAAAGAAATTTTATTTGAAACACACTAAAGAAACTGTTTCCTCGAAAACATTTCCCATATGATACTGGCGACTTTACGGCAAAGACGTCCTAGCAAATGCGAAATCAGCTTTACTTTTATAAGCAGTAATTGATGTGTATGAGATACGCAAAAAAAATTTTTAGTTACTAGAGAACGGCTTAAAAATCAACGCATGACTATGCAACTATAAGGATCTCAGGAAGTACACAGAATCCAAGAAGTTGAAAGCAGTCGAAGGAAGAAGAAGCCTCAAGAAGTACTAAAAGGGTTTCCTCTACCGCTGGCAGAACTACTAAACAAAGACTGGATTCCGACCTCTTCCTGCAAACGATTGAATTCATTGCGTAGAACTTTCGCACTAATCTCTTCTATCCATCAACGCCGTGTCGAAGTCCGTTTTTCCCACTGTAAAAGCACCACCACGGACACTATCTGCTGAAATGCGCAC